TTGTTTTCTTGGACGATTCAATGATAAGAATTTGTGTAATGTACGTGCGAACATTGTTGTTCAGTCAGATAGACTTGAATGGAATAGAATGGTATACGATAATACGTCGGATTGAGTGGGCGTCAAAGATCGATTCAAACGATCGTACAGGCAAAGTTCAACCTTCATTAATTCAACGCCAGGTTATTCGTCAATTAACTTATCTAATCACAAACAGATTGTCGAACTTTTTTTCCACTTAATAACAACATTTATTTTTCGTTTTTCAAATTAATATTAAATTAATAATAAAAATTATAAACAATTCTTTTAATCATGGAGATCAATATTATCAAAAAAAAAAGACAAAAATAATTCAGAATTTTTCTTATTTAACTTTTTTAAATTTAAAACATATATTTTCTTTTTATTTATGAAAATAATAACGGCCAAATAGTACAAGCTATGGAATAAAGCGTAATCTAGCGTTTCAAGGATGAATGGACATCAACTGCTGCAGCACATCTTGCCTTTAGAGCAAATCTTATTTATCGTCGATAAAAGAGAAGTCTCTTAGCACTTTTTGCAAATTTCCGAACTGTTTTAATGGAAAATTTAAATCAAATGCATTTTATTGCACTTATCTTATATTTTTACAAAATCTGTAATTTATTTACAACCATTTAATAAATACCTTTATCTCAAAATATGCAGTACCAGAGCGCAGCACAAGTCAATATAGAGCACTAAAGAAATGCCATGTTGTAGTTGACTCTTGTAATTGTAAAAATTAAAATGCACTATATTTTGTTAGAAACGAGATAGATACATAAATATAAATATTCACTAGTTTTGAAATTATTTATTTAATTAGAATTACAAATAGAACAAATATCTTAACTTTTATTTTTATTTTTATGATTTTTATTTTGATGACATAATTGTTTACCAATGGAATAAATAATAAAATTATATAATTTATGAAAACTAAAAATATATTTAATATTTTTACTAATCATGAAAAGATAGCCTTACAAAAGTGTCTATACTTTTCTTAAAAAATAGACTTTCTAAATTCGTTTTTTTTTTCTTTTGCTTTTACATTAACAATTATTATACATATTATTATATAATTATTCAAGAAAGATGTAGTATTGTGTTTTCTATTTTACATTTTATTTATGTTAACTTTACTTGTTAAAACCGCGTAATATATATCAAATCATAATTTGTCAGATATTATTAAATTAAGATTTTATTAAAGGAATATAAGGTAAAGGAAAATCGATAGGTGACATTATCGCTTAGGTAATCAACTTGAAGTGTAATATTTTAATAGTAATCATAATGAAGTTACAGGATGCCTTTATACAATATGTATAGATAGACAGCGTCATAATATAGTTTTCCTTAAGTAATTCGTTCAATATATTTATGCTTAATCATTTTATAAGTTTATTATCGTCTATAATGAAAGTGAGAGTGTGTGTGTGTGAGAGAGAGAGAGAGAGAGAGAGAGAGAGAGAGAGAGAAAGATAGAAACAGAGATATGTAGAACGTGTATTCGTAAAACCTTTATGTGAAAAAACAAGCCTCAACTTGGTGATTACAAACGAACGATATATTCTTTGTCTCATTTTTTATTATTCGCGAGCGTACTTGGTACACATGTATACGCGTATACTATGCTTATCTCTCGTCATTATTAATTTCCTCGCTTCATCGATGACACGTTAGGGACATTTTAATATTTCTACTAGATGAGTGAAATGCGAGGAACGTTCATTAACTTACATGACTCTTCCGTCTTGCCTTCCATCCGCAAGAAAAAATCGCTCTAGAATCGTATTTATATATTAATAAAAATCGCGTTGAAACTTCTTTCTTTTATCTTTACAAATCTTTATATCATCTAATTGTGGAAATTTGTACAGTTTTTTTTTTATAAGGATTTTTGTTGCCTCCTAATTATTTAATTATACACACTGTCGCGCACGCGCACAGTAAATGATTACACGCGATGCGTTAATTAAGTTAATTTCTTCTCCTCGTCGCTTTGGCTTCGCGGACTAACATACATCATTTTTGATACACGAACACGATGCGAAAATTAAATTTCGCAGATTCTAGATCTCACAGTTAGACCCTGCATTCAGCAGATGGAATTTTTTTCCTATAATACATCATTTCAACTATATTCTAACAAAATCCAACAATCTCGGGAAAGTCTTCAAGATTCGAACTGATTGAATTGATTATTTATAATAGGAATTTTATAATCTAATTTCGAACTCTCGAAGGATGCCCGCGTTAAACGCGATGCAACTAACATTGTTGTTAAAAAATAAATCAATCAAGAATAGCACGCACATATATTTAAGATCTAAAAATATCGGTAATTGGATCGAGGTAAATACACATCGCAAGCCGTTTAACAATTCACAGAGTTTCGCAGAGACGCTTCGATCGTTCTCGCTTATGACGTACGATCCCTTTGCCAAGCGACGGTATAATAATAACGATAAATTAATTTTATAATTATAGCAATAAATAATATTACTGGGATGCGCGCTTTTAATCGTTGCTAAAGACAAAGAGGGATAATATCGAATTTCGTGCGCGTTTACATTTATAACGAATCTGTAGAAACTATATAATTAGATTATAGAAGAGCTTGTGGCATGCATGTGTAAGAAGGGGACTGAATGGTCGTTGATCTTTACAATACGTTTTTCCAGTGCAAACAAATATGAAGTGTAAAAAAGGGATAGCGTAACAGGAATCTTTGGGGGACTTTTATGTTCGTCGAGTTTTTTACGTTTTTTTTTTTTACAGAGCACCTGTTTTACAAGTACAATGAGATTTACTAAATTTCTTCTCTGAAAAATTCTGGTACGGATATATCAATGTGTAATTATAATTATTACTATAGGTACTGTCTTCCATGGATTTACGGTATCGTCACAATATGATCACGGAGAATAACTCGATTATACTCGAGAGTTGTTCGCTTGTAGAAGCAAATGGTTGATATTCTGCAAAGTCGAAATACGCGGACCGTTCTAAGCTAAGTAATCTTGCATTGACGTTATTTCTGAAGAAACGCTGTTACAATCGAGAGTTCTAAGACGAACGTATATCCCACAATAGTTCTGTACATTAATAAAAACGAGTACTTCTCATCTTTCGAAGCGACCCCATAGATCATCCAGACTGACTTCTGGGCTATGTCGAAATCTCGATCACCGGTTCCGCGGTATTATTATTGAGCATCTCCTGTTTTTCTCTCAGCTTTAGATCATACTGCGAGGGCGATGGGGATTCTTTGACCTCGATCGGTGATAGTCCGTCTGTCTCCTCTAAAGGAGACACACCCTCCTCGCTGTCCTCGTCTTCGTCATATTCGACCTCCATCTTAGACTCGTTTATCTCATGCAAGCGACTGGGAATATAGGCCGGATGATGCGGCAATGACCCATAGCCACTCTCACTGCCGTAAGTGACCTTGCCCATAAAGGACCTGATCTCGTCGAAGTAAGTGTCCTCCCGCTCGTTCTCGTTGCTGCTTCCAGGCGAGTCGGCTACTGATACCACTCCGCTACCGTCATCTGCCTCGTGCTTTTTTAGATGTCTGTCCAAATTAGTCTGCTGTCCGAAACATCTTTCACAAAGCGGACACTTGAACGGTCTTTGCTTGTCATGGATGTTCCTGACATGTCTCTGCAGATTGCTCGAGATGCTGAAGGACCTCTCGCAGTACTTGCACTTGTACGGTTGTTCACCAGTGTGAGTCCTCAGATGCCTTGTTAAATTGGCTGAGCGAGGAAATACTTTGCCGCAGAATTTACAGGAGTATCGATCTTTCATCTTGCCGTGAACGTGATGATGGTGATGATGATGATGATGATGATGGGGCGCCATTACGGCTTCTTGAAACGGCTTCACACCAGGGAACGCGCTCAGTGGCGGCCGGGCAAGCAGGTCGAATCCTGCTCCTGGCCTAGCGCCGCTGAGCCCGTTCATAAGCGAGCCTAAAAAAGGAAGCCCGCGCGGTGGAGCAAAAGGTGGAAGTGGAGGTATCAGCCTAGATTCCGGAGTAGCCCCGCCTGGAGGTGGCGGTGCGCTAGGAAATCCTGGAAAGGTTCCCGCTGGACTGCGATACATAGTTTCGAGGAACATCGGATGTATCGGTCTAGGGTAAGCCATGTGGGGCGGTGTATTGGTCGGCGGTTGTTCGATTGGCAGGCTAGTCCTCAAGTGCGGACTATTTCCATGAACGTCCTTAGACTCAAGCTCCATCAGCGAAGGCGCAGCAGTATCTTCTTCCGGTTTCGGGGGATCGGGAGGTCCGGGCGTTTCCTCCATCGGTATTGGCGCTGGCGATGGTGTACGGCTTTTTCTATTCGCAATTTTTAAAATGGTATCTTGTTTCTTGGTCTGCACCCTTAGATCCAACGGTTGCTCGGTCGGTTCCTCCTTTGAAGTACTTTCGATTTCCATTTTTCGTTCATTGCTTCTAGCCGCTTCTTTTCTCTTTGATAGATCATCGTCACTCTCCGGGGTCGGTTGAACCGGTGGTCTAGCCGGAGATGGCCTAAACGTAGAAGTGGCTTCCTCCGCTGTGGAAGGAGAGACCTTATTGTGTTGCGATAATATTCTCGGAGGAGTAAAACGTTCCTTCTTGGGACTGTCGCTTCTCTTCTCGGCTTCTTCGATTTTCGGCGGAAAAAGTAGAGGTGTGTTCAGGAAATTCGGAGCATTCGGGAAAATTCCTGGATAAGGACCCATTAGACTAGGTGGATAAAAAGGCAAACCACCTGGTAAGCTCACGGGAGGCCGTGGATATACCAGAAAAGGGCTCGTTGCTGGCGTTGGTAATTGAGGCATGGTTCCAGGTGGACCGGTTGGAGTCGTCGAATCGCAAAATCGCTTATGTTTCGATAATGATGTTACCGTGCTGAAGGACTGTCCGCATTTACCACACTTGATCTGCATGCGACAGTCGGCATGCATGCGCTTGTGCCGACATAAATTGGAAAATTGCGTGTACGCCTTAAAACAGACCTCACACTGGAAGGGTTTTACGCTGCTGTGGATGTGGGTGTGCTGCTTCAGACCGGAACTAGTCGCAAAGGTCTTGCCACACTCCGTGCAGGCGTGACTCCTTGCTCCCACGTGATGCGTTCTTATATGACGTTGTAGGTTTGATGGGTCCGTGAAGACCTGCCGAACGTTCGACTTTTAGCGATACTAGAAGATGCTACTAGATCGAAAAATATTGTCTGATTTCGATGAATAAAACACGAATTTGAAGCTTACCTTCGGACAATTCTCGCAAGGATAGTTCCTAAGATCACCGTGAATGATAGCACGATGTCGCACCAGAAGCGGCCGCCAAGCATAAGCACGGGGACAGCTGTCGCAACGGTGCTGTTCCGCTGGGTATCTATGACAAGTCACCAGGTGGCTATCCAATCTGAAAATAACAGATGCAAACGTTTCATTCCATTGCGTTATAAACAGTAAAATATTTATAAGAGAAGATAAAAATTGAAAATGATTTATAATCTATATACATCTTTGAAGGAAGCTACTAGCTACTAAATTTTCCTTTATTTTTTCAAAAATTCATTTGGAAAATTGAAATATTCGATGGAATGGCGATAATTGCCATTACCATATAAAAATATCTTTGGACATTACTCTCTATACCTCGTCCGTGAAATTTAATGCTATTTAATCAAAGCATCACATCGGGCAAGCAGGATGTAATACAGTAACCAACCCGCACCGACAAAGATTGTGTCGAGCGCAGTCTTGGATGATGACTAAGTGACTTCGACTGCATAGTGGCGAGTCGGTTCTGCAATAACGGTCGCACACCCATGAAGAAGAGGGCGGTCGTCGCACACGAACACACGCCATCACGAAGAAAAGCCCTTCTAAGGGGATTGTCACGGGGTAGGCACACGGGTTATCGTCACATGGGATGGTGTGCCACAGCATTGATTTTACACCCTCGAACACACGCACCGTGTGAAACCCATTCGTGATGAGATAGTGCCACGACGGTGTGCTGCGCTAGATGAGCTACGAGCACGCGACGCTTTCGATGATGCATAAGGGGGTGGCTTTAGCGCGTCTGATTACGAATCCCGGTGAAGGGTTTAACGCCCCACAACAGGTGAATCTGCCGCGTCAGGGAATGCGGTTTAATATCGACTGAGAGAACAAAAATTAGATATGAAAATATTGATGTAGAGACAAAAACAAGAACTTTACTCAACATTTTAATTTGTCTATTCCTTGACTTATATTTAATAATGTAAATTATTTTTATTGATTATAAAAGAAATTGTAGGTATATGTATATCGATTATTTGATAAGATAAATACGATATTGATTGTAAATAAAAGATAATAAGAGTTTTGAACAAAGAACAATACAAACTCATCATAGAAAAGAGCTAACGAGAGAAAAGAACAACATATTATTTCAGTCATAATGCATTCTTAAAAAATTGAACTTGTTGCAATTAGATGTCAGTAAAAATTCATTCGTAAGAAAAAACGCTCAATTAAAGGCTATATATTAGATACAAAATACTAATATTCAAGTGAAATGCATAATATTTGATGAAAGTTTGTAATTAATAAAATATAAAATATTTAATGACAAAATTACAATCTCCACTTATAAAAATCATGAAAATTTGAATGTATTTAAATATTTTATTATGCATTTAATTTATTATTTTCTGTAATTTTATGTTATTTTATAATAATTTTATAATTATTTTATAATTAAAGACAGTGACGTGGCTTCAAGACAGAAAGAAGGCTGACTAAGCATCATTTTCAATCGCCCAAGAAGTCTCAAAATATTCAGGTCTTCAAAGAGCACTCTTGAAGTCGCTTGCGTGACAAAAGGCTTTTGCGAACGCGAATTACTAACTCAAGATTTGAAGGCGATTGCGTGGCACTCTGGATTCCATCGATTAATTAATAATTGATGATGAAAATCGACGGACGCGGCGAGCGCTTTAATGTTAGTCGAGCTGTTATCTTTCGATTTCGATCCGGCGTGTCGCTTTACTGAGCATATAATCATCGCTCATCTGATTTGAAAAGCATATAATGATGTCCCATGAATCCTTGATGAGTCACGTTGTGTATTGTCGCGCCAATGATAATAATCTTCGAATAATGCAAGGAAATGTGATAATAAAGGAGGTCCATGATTATAGAATTTTTACAGGATATGTGCAACTATACGATAAATAAAAACATTTGCTCCATATTTAATTTAGTAATAAAATTACAATCCTTACTTACCAAAAAATCATAAAGATTTGAATGTATTTAAATAATATATAAAATAACATAAGTATTAAACTAGTAAAAGCTGGCATAAATATATTAATAAATAAATATAAATATAAATATAATAGTCAATGAGAATAAAAGAAACTAATGAGACTAATGAGATAAACTGGCTCTACGTGCTAATACATATTAAAAATATAAATTAAAATCAAAATCAAGTTATAATATGAAACATTTCGATTTGTAATAATATTATCCTTTAGTGCACTGAGGAAATTAAAAACAATAATAATATAAGAATGTAGTAATGTTGAACTAATAATAATAGAACAAAAACGCAAATTTTAATTATTACGCGTGTATGATAATGTCTTCGAGATATTATCTAAATGAAATAACATGATGATTACATATAATATCCATTTTTATTTTAATTTATATTCTGTTGTCATACATATATTTTAACACATTCAGATAATTCAATTAAAACCAATTCAGCTCATTAGTTCTTTTCTTTTTGGAAAGTAAAAATTGTTCTTCTATTTTTTAAATATTATTATGTTATTATTATAAAGCGCGATCTTTCTCTCTATGTGGAATGAAAAAAACAGATTGTTTGGATCTCTTATAAATAATTATTCTAATAATAAATAAATTTTTTTTTAATGTTTAGATACGCTTTACGTTTCTTTTATATGTTTGTGATTCTCTAATGTATCTTTTTGAGATTCAAAATAATCTTTGCTTATATTTTTTAATTTATTTAAAGAAATAAAACGATTGCATAAGAGAACTTACAATTCGATATCTTGGAACGGCTTGTCACAAACAGTGCACCTCGTTTCTCCTTCCTCCTCGTCTTCTTTGTCCTCATCGACAGTTCCACTATGCTGAGAAGCTGTAAATGATGAATACGATAATACAGATTACAAGTGTTCTCGACACGTCAGTGATAGCGTGAGTAAAACTCGCAATTTTCTCGCAATTTGTATATGTGTACATGTGAGTAATCGTATAGCTTTATAAATTGCAACCCCTTGCAAACGATGATACGTGATGTGTCATTGTATGGGCAAATTACGTGATCCAGAACTCCGCGCGAGAGCCACAAGAGTGGCGTGACAAGTGGACTCGTGGATTGTCTCTGAATTATTAAATTAAAGCGGTAGTATCGCCTAATCTATATAACGAAGACATCAATGTTTTATGGAATTCGACGATGATTTAACTAGTTTTGTAGAAATAATAGAAATAATTTTCGACAAATTCGCAAAGTTAATGCCAAACTCAATTAGTATTACAATATTTACGTAATTATATGCTTTTAATGCTGTTAAATAATTTTCATATACAAATTTGCGCTAATATTGATTCATTTTTATTAATTAATTTGATATGAAATTAGTTTAAACGTGACTTTAACATGAATTACATTTATTCTCGAAATTCAGGTAATCAAAATCGCATATCGCTTTTTCATTATAAATTAATTTAAAACATACGACAATTTCTAATAGTTGTTTTAATAAAATAAATAAAATAATTTATTAAATAAAAATAGGTATTAATTTTACCATCCAGTTAATGATCTCTCTGCAAAATGTTGATCAACATTTATCGTCTATAATACGCTTATAAAATCAAATAGATTACAACGTAGTTCAAGTTATTTCACTACACTGTCACTTTTTTCTTTTCAACAAGTACGATCCGACACACAAGCGATCGCGAAGACAATAGACACAATGATGTTTTCGTTAGTTGGCGGTACACCGTCCAGTAACTGCAAACGCAAAAGGGGGTGTCCAGAATCGCTTGCTATTGGTACAAGCGACATTGAAGACCAGCCAATCACAGGTGAGTCTCGACAGCCCCCCAGCGGTATTTCACCCCCGAATATCAGAGCGCAACGGCAGGTAAAATCAGAAACCCATGAAGGAGACAAAGTGAGATTATCAATGATTGAAACACGCAACATGAGTGCTAATAAAATATGACACATAAAGTATACTAATTAAATTTTATATAAAAATTTACTTATCTTACATTGATTATTTGTTTATGTACAAATATTTAAAAATATGAAAGTAAATGTAAATAATAATAACCAAAGGAATTAAAATAGAAATAAAGTAGATTGTAAAGTTATAAAAATTAAAAATAATTTTGAAAAATCATTTTAATCTTTATATTACGAAACAAGTATGAGATTTCGCTCAAATTTGAACGATATCCGACTTCCAACGGTTATTTAAATCTACCGCTACACTTGTTCCGATACCATATGGTCGAGTGATGGCCCCCAACGGACCTTCATGGGAACTGGGCACAACCCCCGTACCACCAACTACGCCCAACGCCATGCTAACCCCCCTTAGTACGTTAATCGTTTCTCTCTTCACGACTAATTCGTAGCGGCACGCTGTGAATTTAAACAATGAAAGATGCGGTCGACCTCCGATACCCTTCAGACAGCATCGTTTGAAGTGAAACGCAGTATTGTGAGAAAATGATTCGAATAAAAAACAAACCACAACAAATTAACCAACAAATAAGAATATAATCAAGAAATCGGTATAAGATAATGTTCAGATATGATAACATAATTTTAAAATGTTGATTTAAATACAATAAAAAGAATATAAAAAAAAAATACGGAATTAATCTTAAAAATAATTTTTTAATATATGTATATAAATTTTTTTCTGGTACAATTAACACTAAATAAAATTTTCATGAATAATTTACGTAAAGATAATATAAATAAGTAAAGAATTTTACATCAATCAACATATAAAAATTATAAATACAATATAAAATTATAAATACAATATAATAAACATAATTATTTTTTTCTTAATATTTTTGTAGTAAGAATTTTTTAGATCTGAAAAGAAGATCTGAAAAGAAGATCGTAATTAAATATATTGCATATTATCAAACAATCGTTTTTCTAAAATTTATAAAGACGGTTAAAAATATTATGTTAATCGCGTAGAAGGAGTAGCAAAGTCACGTTGCGGAAAGTCAACAGGTGGGATCCATTGGTTACACCCCCCGCGGTCGAGTAGTCAGTTGGCAGTTGCATGGGAAAAAGTAACGGAAATCAATGTTCTTGCTGCATCGTGACGTTCACAATTTAAACGACATCATTAAAATAAATCGATAAATATATCGAAGTAAATCTATTTTATCTATAAGAGAAAGAAAGAGTCGTTTACTTTATTACGCTCTTCTGTTTTTATAAATTTTAAATAAATTAAACTATAAAAATGTATTTTTTTCTTCAATTATTATAAGCTTTAATGAGATTAAATTCATTAATGCAAATTAAATTTGCAATCACTGTTGAAACGATATAAATCATTTTTTTATAATATAATCTGAAACGTTACATATATATCTATATATATTTCTTTTTCTAAAATATTAATATTAAATAATAAAATATAATGTAACTACAAGGAAACTGAAAAAAATCTTTGTTTAGCGATTTACACGAATTTGCAAAAGCGCTTTCTTACTCTTAAAATAATAAAAGTTTTTCTTTTACGATACATCTTTTTTACATTCAACGATTCAACTAAAAAAAAAATATATATTTTCTTTGATGAAATAAACAGAAAATCGATATCTGCGTGCATCTTCCAGTAAAAATTTGTTGCACGCGACCGTAGCGATTTGAAATCAAACGTCAAATAAATGTGTCATTAGTCCGATGAATCAGATGGGGTTGTAACATGTCACACGCACCTCCCTATCTCGAAGTATACCACCCCCTCAGAAAAAAGTGTCGCGTGCCCTTTTATATGCGTATACCCCTTTTTTTCTCATTCTGACCCATGCCATTTTTTTCGGTCATCGCAGAGACCTGGTTATGCGCGTGTTAATCGACAATAGTTGGCTATAAATTATCCGCTGCCCTAATAGAGCTGTCGGAAAACACGCCGATGATACAAACGCGTTTCTCGGGTGCAAAAAAAAAAGGGAAAATGGTGATAAAAAAACAAGCACCGCAGAAAGTCATAAGCACAGTCATAAGTCATCGTAAATGCCCCAATTGCATCTGCCATGTTACCGCAACTCAGTTCGTGGTAAAGTCAAAAAATGTCTGGGAAAGATCATAATGTTGCAGTTAATACAAGTAATCGCATCGTATCGGCAAATACATACAGATATAACATTAAACAGTAATCTTTTTTTCTCTCTCTAACTGGTCAAACATTACATTACATTATCATCATACGTTATAATTACTTGCAATATCTTATTTTAATATTTGTTAATTTTCTTTCTTTTTTAATTTGATTAAAATACAACATTTTTAAAAATTTATTTAATTTATTTCTATATCCTCATTTTATTAAAATATTTTTATAACAGCAATAAGATTGGAAATAATAAATTTTATTTTTAATTAAATATTTTCTCTTCAAGTATAACATAACATTGAAAAAGAAAAGATTTGTATCTATAAAAAATTAATATTGAAGGTGAATTGAACGGGCCACGTGCAAGCAGAATATAAATTTTTTAATGTGAATATTCGATATAGATATATGTATGTGCGTCTACGAGATTAAGTTAACATATAACTCCAGTTGAACGCCTCGCTACGCGCACCCCACGTAGGCGTGTTAAAATGATTCCTCGCATCTTTTTCTTTCGCTTTCCCTTGCTCTCCGTCTCTTTCCTCGCGAAAAAAATGATCCGTCCAAGGGAGAAACGCGGCGCAGATGCCCTTCGCAAGGGTTGATACGGAGCCTACGTCATTTGTTTGACATCATTATTCCTGCTTGCACGCACCAGCTTGCTCTCTGGAGGAGATTTCTTCGTAAAAATGGCTTTACTGGATTAACGTCAGTATTACTCTTAAGCCATTTAAAATCAACATTAATCTCTCTTGAATGCATTAATTGTAAAATTACGTGTCCACCAAAATCTGTAGAAACCAGATCATTATACATTATAACAATAATAATAAATTATTCTAATCTCTTCTTTCTCAATTTAAAATAAATTAAATAATTGCAAAATTTACGGATAATTTACATAAATATAAATGATTGCATAAACATTAAATTTTTATATTTATTGACGAATAATATAATGATTTTACAGAGGATTTATAATATTAATATAAATAAAGGAAATATGTTGATGCAATTTCTTCCGCGACCTAATCTGCCCATTATCGAAAAAATAAAGTTTCTAATTTCAAAATTAATTTAGAGAAAGTAATATTGTCGGTAGGCTCACGACTTAATTACGACTCTAATTTTCAACTATTAAAGCTATCTCATAAAACTGCGTCTCTGTTTTGGAGTCAATCTATTTAAATATATAATATATGTAAATTAAGTACGTTTTTTTCTTTAATTTTGTTGTTACATAAAAATAATCTTATTACTATTATCTTTTTTTTTGTGAGAAAAAATATAATATAGTTTGTTAAATTTTTATATAGATGTTATATATATGTTAATGAATAATAAATGGCAATATACGGTATTATTTTCTTATGCATATGTGTTATTTCTTATTCATCTGCATGCTTAAAAAAATTCAAGCAGAACTCTGTACAGAACACTCTGTACTTTATTAAAAAACATATTTTATTATATTTTTATCAAAAATATGTTACACATTGTAGGCTGTTATTTATTCTAAATTTTATCGAGCTTTTTCTAAAGTTAAATATTGATTTTCTTTTTGATATAATTTACTATGTTTTATGTTTAAAGATGTTTCAGTAATAATAACTCATCTTCATTGGCTTTGTCAAAGGAAAATTTAATAATAAACTACCTATTAATACGAACGGTGTATCTTCCACGCGCATTTTACGAACATTTCCTAAAATTATGATGAAAAACTGTAGGCGAATTAACCGTAGACTCTGTAACGGCAGAACTTTGACAATAAGCTCGGTTTTAATTGTTGCGACATCTGGGTGTCGCATATAACCCTCCAGCCCTACCAAGTCATCATCCAGATTTTGACCATCGTGCAGAAGTTACAACCAGATAATTGTCGAGCAGTGAAGCACGTAGACGCTACCCTTCTTTATAAATATATATCCCGAATATATTAATGATACAATTATCCACACAATAAAATCTAACGATTGATCATCTAAATTAAACGATAAAATTAATTTTGAAATTGACTTTAAAAAATCAGTTTACGTTTATTATAGTAAATTTTAGTAAATGTTTTAGTAAATATGTTTTCACATTATCAATTATGTGCAATTTTATAAACGTATTAAATAATAATAATTTTAATTAAAAAATAAAAGATAATTTTAAATTTTCGTAATTATCCGCGCAGTGGTTTTGTTCGTACAGTGACGAACAAGAAGGATGGTTTTGGACAAAAGTCGAAGCGACACGGGGCACGGCGACATGTGACTCGAACACGTCTATCTGCAAATAATCAGCGCTTATTACCGGACGAGGGTTAATACGCAACGGCCGACCAGGTGAATCACGCCAAAGTCAAGGGTGCATGACCAGCAGCTCGTGCACACAACGATCCACGATTTACCCTCTGCCCGCCCCCGATTCGTCGTTTCGGAAAACACCTGCCCCTGCCATTCATTTGCGTTCATACGCGTAATTGTACGCACACGAGCTGCTAACGTGTATCGCGCGATGTATATCGGTACAGAAAGTCGTAAAGCCATGCCGAAACGATCGTGATGCCGATATCTTGCCGGCCATCTGAATATTATTTTATATCGTATTTTCCGTTTTCTTCCATTTTTTGTAGACATTGTAGACTCCTCAAAAATAAAACATGCTGTGCACTACTTATTTTTTATTGTTTTATTTGTTAATTCAAATTATTTATTCAACTCGAATTTTTTTGACGTTTTAACATATTTAAATAACAATATTATCCAATTTACTGATGTTAGAAGTTACATTTATATATATATGTACAAAACGAAAATACAAAAATTAAAATAAATTATTAAAGTAAATTAAAACAATATCTGTCGTCTAAAATATCCGAATAGATAAGCTTTATTTGTAGCAAGACTTGATAAAGAAATAAATCTGGAGATGTTTGGTTCAAATTCTTATGACTTATATATGCTCACCAGTTTCTCGATCGCTTCTGTCCTCGGTTGTATTCTCGCCCAACATGTCCTGCAGCTGAAGCGGTTCCCGAAGGCCCAAAAGAAGTTCTTCACCCGTTGCAATGTCGCGAACAGCCTCATACACCATCTATCATCAGAATTGTTATTTCATAACGCTTAATTCTTAAGTTTTTCAGCAACATAACAAATATTTCAAAATAATTCCAAAATTTTTCATTTTTATAGTGCTAAAAATTATAAATAAAAATTAACTTTGCAAGATTGTAAATTATAAAGTTCGTAAGTTATGCTAAAACTATTCTTTTCTTTTCATTTTCTGATATATGTACATACAACATATAATAATTATTATTAAATGTAATTTTTGCGAAATAGTGAATGTAGGATTGTCCTACAATTAGTTGCATGACATTTTAATAAATATGTCTATTAAATTTTTCTAGAAAAATTGCACTTTTATATTGAAGATAAAAAAATCACCAAATATATTGCATAAAAGCAGTGATATACTATACAGCAGCATAATTCTTTTCCTATTTTACGTAAAATTAAATTAATGATAATATCGAAAAAAATATGAAGAGAAGAAATCTAAAAATAGTAAATGCTATTAATATTGATATTTCGGGCAATTGCGGGCAATTGTTTCGATTTTATTAAAGAGAATCCCGATGAATTTATTAAAGAGAATCCCTTCACACAAGGCATATAATCTGTGTACGAAATTCTATGAAAATCGGTAGCATTGGGAAGCCATGAAACGATCTTTAGTGTCGTCACAGGGCTCCATGAAGCATCATTACGATGGCGATTTTGCAGGGCACTGATAGAGACTGTCGCGTTCCCCATTCCCACAGCGATTGCGAGAGGGCGTATAGGAAGTCAGAGAAACGACCCTGTGGGGTGACTTAATAACTAAACACCCTGTATACATGTAGCTTACGTCGCGCCCACAACATCGAGAATGCCATGTGCCACGGTTCACAGAGAGAAAGAGAAAAGGAGCCAAATGGACAGAAGCGTAAGCTCGACCCTAAATTGACACCGTGACCTCCATCATTTTCGTTTATATGTCTATTCGATGACCAATCATACACGAACACCTTGTTTTTAAAGACAATTAGAAGAAAAATCTGTCTTTTATATTTCTTTTTATTAAGAGATCACTTCAAAATTAAAATCTGTTTAAAAACAAAGATTAACTTTATTATTACATAAATTTCGATATTTTCTTATAAAATGAGTTTTATATATATTTTTTTAAAATGAATAAAAATTATTTATTTTCTACTAACAACAAACATATTATTTCATATCTAAATAGATTCTCTTAAAAACAATTTACATGTATATATATTACAGAATGACAGTTATTTGAAATAGATAGTTAAATACGTAGAAAACAATAATTTTGCCGGATAAAGTACTAATAAGCTTTTTAACAATCAATGACATATGTGCAATAAATTGGAATTCTGTTTAGTGTGTAATTATTGTTTCCTGTTAACTGCAACTGTCGATCGGATAATGTCAGTTGCGTATAAAAGTTAAACAGAGGGTGAATCAGAGAGTGGCTACCAAGGATCTAAAGGGAGTTATTCTTTTTATAATGTAGCAATTCTAATTTATTCGTAATATTGTTAAAATTACGGCCAATATCAAAAATTATGAAGATTATATGAAGATTTAAAAAAAACCTTCTTGCATTTTATTTAAATAAAATAAATTAATCTGGTATGTAACTTATATTTATTGCAGTATCCTTTAAACTGCAAGTATTTCTAACATTCAATTAATATAATTTTAATGCGGAATAATTATTTGTGCATGCCACTCGCACACGAAAAGCGAAGAAATAAAGAATTTCTTTCTATACTCGTACAAGGTACGGATCGCGCGTACGAAGCTGAAGATCGCAGATGTCGATTAGTGATACCAATAATTCACTCTTCTACAAAATTATCTTACTGCTCTGTACGCGTTTTTGCGCCGTTATAAAGTGAAAACAAGCGAATATGGATTTGAAATTGGTCATTAACATTGTATTTTTGCTATTCTAGCCGATAACTTGTAAGTTTTTTCTTGTTTTTAATTTTTATGATATATCTAAACTAGAGAGCTAACAATACATAATAGAAAGGATATATTCACTTGTCGTACTTTATATTGGTAACGAAATATTACCGTTAATTTTTGAGCTTTCAATTATGCTACATTCTCCATTATTGAATTGTTCTTACCTGACCGCCGATGAGTACGTGACGCATATTTACTGCGTGTGAGCTAGCAGTACTTCGTATATATTTCAGCCAATTGTTTGTTTCGTGAGATGCATCCAACCAGCCTCTTACTCCACTGCCCGCTATGCGAACCTAAAACACCCGTAAACATTGCATCATAAAATTTTCCTTGCTAGCTGATAACAAAAAATTGTGTTTATATTGTGAGCACGAAAAAAAAATAAATTTCAACCTTTAAATCAATTTTCCCGTATTTTTTGTTAAAATAAAATTAGTTTGATTTCTATACTAGTACAATTTTATTGTAAATATCTAAATCAATAAAATTATTTTTTGAACTGGATCAATGCACGTGCGCGAAACGACACGTAAGTACTGTATATTTTTGGCGGTGAGAAACCGCAATGTTTTGGACTCGGAACATTGCGTTTAACGGACTGTCGCTCACGGATATCATCCTCTCATCGCCCTTGCATCTGCCCTGACTTTCCGTTCCAGCATCCACAAAACATCCCTACTTTTAGGGCGAGACAAGTGATTTTTTTCAATTATCTAGCGCGCAACTTCGACGCCCCGCGACGCTTGGCCGGCCAAGCGTCTCACCCCGATGCGTCGCCGTCGTTCCTGGACACCCCATTTGCCAACGGGAAGCTACGAATATTCTCCTCGTCACTCTCATCTCGTGTGGTAAAACACATTTTGCACTTCTATCATGAACCCGTTGTCTCCACCATTTACGAAAATATTTTGACCATTAAGTTGTATTAATCGCCAAGTGTAATTTTTTTAGAATAATATCATTGTACAAAATAAAAATTATTAAATAAATAAAAAACACTTTAAAAATAAAATACAATTAAATATTATATTATATTAATTACGATTCTTACGGATTTTAAATGACAAATATAACATCTACTCTTATTCATTATTATGCATATTATTGTAAAAATAATTAAAACTTAATAATTAAACTTATTAAATTAAAAATTTATTTAGAAAACACAGTAAGTAAATAATTAAATTTATAAAAATAGCTAATTATTGTTCTTTTTTGTGATTGCATAATTTATCAAGTACAAGAAAAATATTTTCTTTTTATATCTTGGTATTATTCTCTTAATTCATACAGATTGAATTTTCTCGAAAAGTTGAGATATAAATGAATTCATCATGGTGTAGAAAAATATAATTTTATAGCAAGCAAAATCTATATTAGTGATATGATGGAGATAGTTCTGAATTTTGTTCTTGCAATTTAACAAATGTATTAGAATCTCTTTTTGCAATATGGATTGACCGTAGGCTTACACCACCTGCTGGTCTTAAATACAACTAATATGCATCCATAAAAATCAATAAATCTCACAGGTGGATAAGGGTTGATCCTGCAGGTAAATAATCCTGGTCAGACGTCTTTTTAAATGACAGAAATTTCTTCACTGGAAACTTTAAGAACTGCAGTTTATAAATAATCCTACCAGATTTCAAAAACATCAGATGAAGACATTTGGTTCACTTTGACACTTCCTTTTCATTCCCATATCACTCTTTTCCGATTCATAGTTAAATCTCCATCTTCCTATTCTTTTGTGATTCTTTCATCTCATTCCTAATCTCTAGTTAAAATCTATAGAACTCAAAGCGCATTTCCGCTGCTATTTTTGTGTACGCGCTTCAATTAATATATGTATATACATATTTAATTATATTTTAATTATATTTTACTTTGTGTAAATTGTTTTGTTTGTTATTTTGAATAAAAATTAAAATTTGCAAGTATGTTGTAAAACTTCAAAAAATTGGAGTTAAATTAAGGAATTTAAGTTTTCTATATTAATGACATAACAAAATTAATGTATTGGCTTTTAAAATTTTGATAAAAATCAGAAGGATTGAAATAGAGAGAAAGAACTTAAGTATATCTATATAAATATAATAAATCCATATATAGCACAATGAATGGAAATGAATGTATCACTTTCAATATCGCGCCTTGACATTGATTAGTCCACGTAGTGCAGTTGAAAAATTCGTGACAATTTACAATAATCGAATGAAAAGCAGGATAGTTTGGTAAAAGACGATGAAAAGGAATCAAAGCGATACGAATTCTCGATCATAATGGCTATTTTGCTACTGGGGACCATTAACGTGCGTTTTTGGAAGATGGGCACGAACCTGAGCGACATAATAGGACTTCTTACTAGGTTACACGACAGATTAGGATCTGTCCCGAAGTCTCGCCCACGACAATGATGCGCTAACTTGTTCATTGGCGTAGCAGCGCATTTCTTTGCGAAGATTGACGAATTGCTTATTTACACAAAAACTGATGACAGAAGAGACATAACCAGAAAAATTGATTACTGGATAGCAATTTGAAGACAATCGCATAAAACGTTGCCATACATTTTATTACATTTATGCCCGTTTCTATCAATTTAGATTAACTTTAATCTTGGTTTATCTTATTTTTCATCTTTTTCTAATTCTTGAAATTAGAAAAAGATAAAGAGTTAATCAAGATTAAAATTAAACTATGTTGGTAGAATGGATATTAATCTGAAAATTTTAGCATAGGGATATATTTAAATCCAAGCACAACACACATAAACAGATATGGATAATAATTTTTTGGTAGAAAGAAATCTTACATTAAATTTTAATAAACGTTAATATCGTTTTCTATAACTGTTTATAAGTATACGCTCAAATTGCTACGGAAAGTTTTTGACCGCGTTTCCGACATTTGTGAGGAAAATTGAGATGCAGTCAGAAAGAGAGATTCGTCACTGGCTTTAACGACCCAGCGAGAAAGTTTCGCCTGCTTTGTCGGCATACGCGGACATGTGCTAACAATTCGTAGGACAGATTTGTCTGGTCGAATATCTCCCGTAATCGTGTCGCGCTATTCTAGACAGAATAGAAAATTATAATGCTAGAAATTGTATCGTCAACGTCGCATGCACAAAACATTTTAATAGGTCGCGGCATAAAATCTCTTTATAATATTGGAGATCTCGCGTTTTTCTGCATAAAATAAATAATATATTTATTGTATTTTTAGTAATAAAGTTCATATTGTATTTATTGTATCTTGTAAAATAATTGTATTTAAATAATAATAAACTGAGTAAAAGATAAAATAATAAAAAAAATTAATAATAAAATTAATAATAAAAATTGATATTTATAAGTTGATATGTTGGCAATTATAAGTTATTACATAAATTTTAAGTCTTTTAAATATAGTTTGACAGACAGCGTTTCTACCAATACTATAAAATTCAAATATTCCGCAAGTAGGATTTTCTCGAAACAAGCAGAAGGTATTTGCAAAACTTGATCGTTGAAAGATATTCATGCGTTGACAAAAAGGATCGGGTAAGTAAAGACCTAAACGGTAACATTGTCCATCAGATCATCTACAGGACGTGCGGTGAAATCCTCGGATAGCTCGGTATGGGGCTTACAGGATTGTCCCAATACACAAAACACGAGATCGCCTGCTCCTCCTTTCCTCTTTTCCTTTGTAATCTCACACCTCCAACAAAGCAAAGGTTTTTCTACGTCGTTTAGGTTTTACCGAAAGATGTTCTATGAAAAAGAAGCTGCTTGACAAGACACGATTCTCGTTATGAATGAACAGATTCTCGCTCTCAATGGATTTTAAACGGCAACGTATCGCATCTTCCTTGTCGAAACTTCGAACGATTCACCAAAAAACGGAGTAGTATCAACCGTCATATCGATATCTATCGCTCAGATTTTCTATAGAAATTTGTATCTGTTCTCTCAATAACTATAGAAGATATTTACTAGAATCAAATGTATACAAAGAATCTTTATTTATAATATTATAAATGTTTGTATTTTTATATTTAAGATATATTGAAATATAATATATTATATTTCAATTATTAAATATAATATATAATATAATATATTATGATAAAAAATGTTGTATTGTTAATAATGAAATATTTAAACAATATTTTTTTACTACTATATATATTTTGTTTTTACTAGATTAATTGATTAATGTAAATTTTTAATACATGTATATGAAAATGATAACTTAATTTTCTAAGCGAACATAAATTATATAAATTTATATGAATGCATTAATGACAGAAGATTGTAAAATCTTATATCGCCGTATTGATAAAGAAAGTGATATATCTCAAAATTAGCAACTTTTCAGAGTATTATTTTTACAAAATTTTTTCTGAATTGAAACAATATTTTAATTAGGATAGTGAGTATGCATAATTTCACTTTTTTTCATATTATTAGGTTTCAATTTCATGCAAAAATAATGGATTTCTTTTTACTACACCTAATATTTTTCTAATTCTAATATATTTTTTGAAACTGTGTCAAACAGGAGTTTTTAAAATTCGACCACTGCAATCATAATATGTGTAAATTTTATCCCTTATCAAAGTTGTGGCACTTTTCCTATTTCCATATAAGCATACGTTGAATATGACATTTTCTATAAAAATATATTAGTTTTTAGGGACGATTTCCTTTCATTATTTCAAAAATGCTATTTTTTTACTTGTGTCATTTATATCAACGTGTCAATATAATGAAAGCTAGTCTATAGATAAAAGAAAGTATCGTCGACTACAGCAACGGTCAGCGAAAGTTATGAATAAAACGGATCGATGGTGGATGATAGCTCCATGATGGCCGACGCAAAAATGCTTTTAGCCGACACACTGTATCCTCCCTCTCTTGCGGAGAAAATCCATTCCGCAACTTAGCCGACTGGCAGGATTGTCAACGAATATAGACGATACTTTTATATTTGATAAAGCTATTATTAAAAAGATTATCAAAGTTATGGTAAATCATAAAGTACCTATAACTTAAAAAATAACCAGATACTATTATCTTTAAATTAAAAATTAATTTTAACAAATATATTAAAATTAAGTTTGTTAATAAAAAACGTTAAAAATATAAAATTGTGCGCTTCATAATTTATTCATGATGTATAACAGAAAAATAATCAGACTATAATATTATAAATAAGATTA